CCCTTAAACAATAGCCTTGGTTTCATTGCTTAGTACAATGGATGCATCTTTTAGGGTTAGTGCTAGTTATTTCTTTTCTGGGAAGACAGAGAAGATTTATCAAGGACTGAATAGGCCAAGAGTTTCTTGAACAAGTGCCTTGAATTCAGGCCAGTGGTCATTTGCTTTGTTAGATATATGGCTCATGCTCTTTATACAGCAGGCAAATAAATATAGCTTCTTTTTAAATATCTTCTTTATTCCAGAGATCTTTTTGTTAATATCACTTTTGAGATGTCATCTCCTGTGTATATGAAGATTTTCAGAATGTAGCCAGAAAGCATACTGGGTGCTGGAGGAACTGGGGGCCAGTGAAGATGGAAAAGGATGGGGGGGCACCTTTATTTATTTAGGAAACTGTTGCAGATGGGACACACATGCTGTGCTGCTCCAAAAGCCAAAAACTAGGAACCGAGGTACATAAGATTACAGAGGCCAGCTTCCAGCCCAACAGAGGAACCTTCTAGCAACTAGAGCTGTCCAAAACTGGTTTGCTTATGCTGTGGCCCGCTGCCCATCATGGAAGTACTCAGCCAAAGCTACTTCTTGGCAGGGGGCTTTTGCTGAACACAGGTTCGACTCCATCTAAGAAACTTGTAGAATCTTAAGATTCCAAGTCATTATCGGGCACAAAATATTCCTGCCAGGCACACACAGCAGCACACACAGTGGGTTAGTTTTGCCCCAGAGTAGTGATGTTTGTGCTAAGCCAGCCACGATCCCCAACTGAGCTCCTGGTCGCCAAGGAAACATATCTGTGGATGAACTGGTTCAGTACTCTACGGTCTTAGAATCATGTTTTTCCCTAACCTGGGACCCTGGGCCCAGGCTCCCACCCTTTAGCTAGCTGTCACAGGTGTCACTTCCAAATGCTGTCTTACTAGTTCTTGAAACTTAGGTATGGAACTGGCTGAGCTTTGCCTGACCTCCTCTCCCCAACTCACTCAAAGAGGAGCCTTCTCTGCCTGTCTCCCTTTGCCAATTTTGGGATGAAAGGCTGCAGAGAGGCAGCACAAGTGCCTGGGGAAGTACCGGGCAGAGCACAGGTCAGCCCCGCTTAGCCCATCAAGCCAGGGTGAGGCGTCCCGAGAGACCAAGATGGGGGAATGGCCTCAGTGCGCCTTGCCTTTTCTAAAAGGGGAACATAACTGTGACCTGACCCAGACACTCCTGCTTTGTTCTCCCTCAGNAGTACCGGGCAGAGCACAGGTCAGCCCCGCTTAGCCCATCAAGCCAGGGTGAGGCGTCCCGAGAGACCAAGATGGGGGAATGGCCTCAGTGCGCCTTGCCTTTTCTAAAAGGGGAACATAACTGTGACCTGACCCAGACACTCCTGCTTTGTTCTCCCTCAGGGTCCACAGGTCTGTCCTAAACCACTCTAATAATATCTGTAATAATAGTGGAGATAGCGGTGGTCACACAGCAGCTGGTGTTTGCTGGGTTCTCACTGTTTTTCAGATGCTGTGATGAGTGCATTACCTGATTACCTCATTGGCTCCTCATAGGCCCCCTGAAACGTTGTGGTGGTTGTCGTTATTGTTGTTTAGCTGCTCAGTCGTGTCCAACTCTTTGTGACCCCAGGAGCCTGCCAGGTTCCTCTGTCCATGGGATTTCTCAGGCAAGAACGCTGGAGTGGGTTGCCATTTCCTTCTCCAGGGGATCTTCCCCACCCAGGGCTCAAACCCACATCTCCTGCCTCGGCAGGCAGATTTTCTATCACTGAGCCACCTGGGAAGCCCTCCTGGGAGGAAGATGCTACTGTGCTGTGTTGTGCTTAGTCACTCAGTTGTGTCCGACTCTTTGTGGCCCCATGGACTGTAGCCCCCCCACCCCCCAAGCTCCTCTGTCCATGGAATTGTCCGGGCAAGAATATTGGAGTGGGTTGCTATTCCCTTCTCCAGGGGATCTTCCCAACCCAGGAATCGAACCCAGGTTTCCCGCATTGCGGGCAGATTCTTTATTGTCTGACCCACCAGGGAAGCCCAAGAATACTGGAGTGGGTAGCCTATCCCTTTTCCAGGGGATCTTCCCAACCCAGGAATTGAACCAGGGTCTCCTGCATTGGAGGTGGATTCTTTACCAGCTGAGCTATCAGGGAAGCCCAGATGCTGCTAATACTGCCGTTTTACAGATGAGGAACTGATGCCTGGAGAACTTAAAGGACATCCGCTTTGTAGACTCACTTTCTCTGTACCTACAGAGAAATGGAAAAGAAAGTGATGCCCGCTCACCACTCAGAGCCATTGGAGTGACCTCCAAGGAGGGGCCAGGTATCACATGCACCCAGACCCTGCTGCTCCACATCCTCTTCTGAGGGGGACATGTGCATTTCCCAGAAAGTCAGGGACCTGCTCAAGGTCGCCTGGGGGAGGCTCATCCCGCAGCCCAGGCCCCAGGGCCCTCCCCACACACCAGCCTGCCTCCAAACCAGCAGAGTCCGCCACCTTCACACACACTCCATCTGCATTTCCTGGCCTCCCCTTTCTAAATGGGCACATTAATTACTGCCCATTTTTCTTAGTAATCATCTGGAACACTTTTTTCTTTTTTTCCCAGGGTTTTCGTTTTCTCAGGCTACTACTGAAATAAAGCTTTGCTCAAACCCACAGGATAGAACACCAGCTATGTGAGGCCATGTAAATGGGAAAAGTTCAGGAAGACATTTACGCTAAACCCCAAGAAACAAAGTGTTGATTAGAGACTTATTTTTGTGAGCGATTAAAATATGAATCATTAAAATAGGACGGTATTTCGGGCTCTGTATCCTCATCTCGTCAGCAACAGCGTCACCATGACTACTGGGTCTGAATTAGATGAGCTCCAGAGCCTTCCCAGCCACACGCAGTTGTGCCTTATACCACTCTCCCTTATACACACAAATGTTCTCAAGTCTGGTTCAGAACACCTCTGGAGCTCCTCGCCCGTGTCAGTGAAAGGAAAGACCCAACGACATGAGGTCTTCAGTTCTTAAAGGCTTTTTGCTCTGTTTGATCACAGTCATAAATAGTGGCAGTAAAAGTGTTAGTTGTTCAGTTGTGTCCGACTCTTCTTGACCCCTTGGACTGTAGCCCACCAGGCTTCTCTGTCCATGGGATTCTCCAGGCAAGAATACTAGAGGGGGTTGCCATTCCCTAATAGTGGCAGTAAGTTATATTAATATAATGACCAAAATTTGAAGATAGAGGAAGAAACAAAAGTGAAACCCAAGGGTATCTCAGGAATCACTTAGGACGGGGTATCGTGGAACTTTATTTGGTACAGATAGAAAAGGTGCAGAAGTTTGCGGAAACAAAGGACTTCATTTGAAGTGTTTCTCAGGTTCAGGCTGAGTTGAAGGGGAAAAAGCAAAAATTTAGCCATAGCCCAAAATATGCAGTTAAATTAAGTTGTTAATTAAAGTATCTGTTAAAAATGGCTAAAATTAGAGACAAAAAGCCCATTGTTTGGTACAATTGTTGACTGCGTATCTGTGTGGAAGGGCGTAGGGGGACAGTCAGAAAAGCCTGCGGTATTTTTAAGATTAATCACCCACGTCGAAGGGGTGTTGAGGCACCCACCTGCGTTTTTGAACTTGGAGCTAAGTCAAAGGGGAGGGACAAGACCGGGACAGCTTTTCTTTCTTTCTTTCTTTTTCTTTTTTTGCTAACTGACTACTCAGTGGACACTTCAAATACAAAATATATCAGCACAGAAGGCCCCCAGTTCAAACCAGCCCCTCCCATCCTCTGCGAGAGCTGACATCCAAAAATGATTTTTTGGGATGGTGGAACCTGGGAGCAATGCCTGTATGTATTTTTAGAAGGAAGCATAAGTTTGAGCTTCCCAGAATATGCTAGTTCATTATAGGGTATCTTTAATATTAATAGTTAGCACCTCTGATTAGACTTGTAAATTTTTTTTTCATATTTATTCTTTTCCTGCCTGGGATTGGGGTGGATTAGAAAAAGGCACTTTTTTTTTTTTCTGTTGGGAAGATTTCTATGAAGAATCCATGAATTGTCATTGAAACATTAAAACTTTTCATCCTTAATGACTTTATCTTCTTTAAATAATCTAAAATGCAAATAAAACATTTATTTTTTTAATAAAAGGAATAGCAATAAGTTGAGACAATTTAAGTTTCTAATAAAGTCTGGTATATCCCTATGACAGGCTGTTATATTGCAGTTACTGAAGCAGTTGAATGATGTGGAGGGAAAAAGATACTCAACTATGATAAGCTTGATTCTAATTCTATAACTATATCATATACTGTTGTTGTTCAGTCGCTCAGTTGTGTCCAGCTCTTTGCGACCCCATGAACTACAGCACACCAGGCTTCCCCATCCTTCACCATCTTCCAGAGTTTGCTCGAATCAAACTCATGTCCACTGAGTCAGTGATGCCATCCAGCCGTCTCATCTTCTGTCATCCCCTTCTCCTCCTGCCCTCAATCTTTCCCAGCATCAGGGTCTTTTCCAGTGAGTTAGTTCTTTGCATCAGGTGGCCAAAGCATTGGAGTTTCAGCTTCAGCACCAGTTCCTCCAGTGAATATTCAGGTTTGATTTCCTTTAAGATTGACTGGTTTGATCTCCTTGCTGTCTAAGGGACTCTCAAGAGTCTTCTCCAGCACCACAGTTTGAAAGCATCAATTCTTCAGCAAAAACATACTGTGTATAGTATTAACAGGGTTCTTGTTTCTTAGGAGTAGGATTATAGATGACTTTTGTTTTCTTTCTACCTTCCTATTCCTTTTTTGTATGTGACTTTCATAATCAAAAAAGTTTTTAAAAACTCGCATATGGCTCTGACCTTCTGAGTTTTAGTGCCACATCCTATCCCCTGTAAGCTCCCCATGGACAGACCTGCCTTCCTCAACATCATGTCTTTAGGACAGTGGCAGGCACAGAGTTAGAGCTCAGCAAATAGTTGTTGAACGGAACACTCCCATTTCCCTGTTTCTCTCTGCTTTTTCTCCCCAGGTGATGTGCTCTATGAACTCCTTCAGCATATTCTGAAGCAGAGGAAACCCCGGATTCTTTTCTCACCGTTCTTCCACCCCGGGAACTCGATACACACGCAGCAGGAAGTCATTCTTCACCAGAACCATGAAGAAGGTACCCGGGAGGCGACTCTCTCGTCCGAGATGTAGCCTAACCCCAGAGCTTCTGCTGTCTCTCTGTTCTTATTCACGTGATTCGTTTTTCATTTGACCAACATTTACTGAGTACTGTGTTTGAGACCCTAAGGGAAATGCCAAGGTGAATAAGATCTCTCTTTGGTTCTCGGCAACTCCCAGTCTCGGGGAGGAGATGAGATAGATACGCACATCAGTAACAAAGAATAGCTGTAACAGGCACCATAAAGAGAAGGTGGAAGGGGAGATGACAGCCAGTGCAGGCATCAGGTTCAGCGTCACAAAGGAGGTGGCCTGCAGGTCTCCTTGAAGTTCTGATAAGCAGGAATGAAGTGGGGGAACATTCCAGGAGGACCCAAGATGGAGTTACATCCTTGGAATAGAGAGCAATCACGTGACTGGGGTTACAGAGCTTATCTTTCTTTTCCCCCTACCTTTGATGATGAAAGATTTCAAACAGACCCCAAATAGGGAGAATAAACTAACTGGAGCCCTGGGAGCTGTCCCCCTGTCTCCACAGTGATCCACATTTCGCTGCTGTAGAACCAGTCCAAGGAGGTAAGATTAGAAGCAGGAATGGAGGACTTTGATTTCTGGGCTGTGGAGCAAAGTAATGGGGAGGCATTGAAGATTTTGAGCAGAGGGTCACATGTGCTGGGGGAAGAAAAGAGACTCAAACCCTGTGAACTCGATGGGGGTCCGGGGGGCCTCATCCTCGTGCTCTGGAGGCGGCGTCTTGCCATGTGTTCAGTGGGAAGACTTAGTTCAGACGTTCCAGGCACCACTCGGCTCTGGCCAGTTACATGGTTCTTATCAAATTACTGGTAGAAAACAGAACAGAAGACCAGAATTGAATTGTGGCCCCGGACAGAGCTCCACAGCAGGTGTTTGGGGACAGAAATAGGGTGTAAAAAATCTTCCTCTGCTCCCTGTTCTGTTGAACTGCAATGTATCAGGCCTCCTGGGAGCATTTCCTCCACATCTTTCTGCCTGAATTGGGAACCAAAGTAATTCTTTTAAATGTATCCTTAGGACCAGATTATGAGGGGCCTAAAACCCTGTGTTTTTGTTTGTTTGTTTTTCTAGAGGCATTTCCTTAAACTGATGGAGCATCCCCCAGAGCAGCACTATTTTTGTTTCATTGTTGGCAAATTAAAAAATGAGAAGTTATGTGTTTTCTTAATTAACACTTCACAGAACACAGCCTGGCTCCAGGCGACCTGACCGGCATCTCTTTCATGTGCCAAGCATTTCACAGCGGGTCCCCTCGCCTCCGTGATGGAGAATAAACCTGTGCTTCTTGCAGGCTCTCTGTCTGTGCCTCTCAGCCTGTCTTCCCCCAGTGTTACCTTTGCTGAATTTAGCTGCTGCCTCTCAGCCCCGGTTTGGTTTCTCTGCTTTTTTACCCTTCCTGCCCTATACATTTGCATAGTAGCCAATAGCTACTCCAGCGAGCAGGAGGTGAGTTTACTGAAGCTTGATATTAGAAGCAGAGTATGTAGGCTGCATCTTCAGATTCAAAATGTGTGTGATGGCTTGTTGGGGGTGGTGCGTGCGTGCTAAGTCACTTCAGTTGTGACCAATTCTTTGCAACCCCATGGACTATAGCCCAGCAGGCTCCTCTGTCTGGGATTCTCCAGGCAAGAATACTGGAGTGGGTTGCCATTCCCTTCTCCAGGGGATCTTCCCAACCCAGGGATCGAACCCGCGTCTCTTACACCTCCTGCATTGCAGGCAGGTTCTTTACCATTAGTGCCACCTGGGAAATCCAGTTGGGAGTGGGGTTGTCTTTTATTTGTTTTCTCTTTGTCCTTTTGTCTGTTTTCTCTTTTTCTCATTATTTATAAAAAGGAAAACTCCTATTTGGAATTTCTCTTCCCCTTTTTATCCTCAGCTCTGATTGGTGGCCGATAGCCTCACCTCATGACAACTCCCTCCTCCCCTCACCCTAATCTGACTCCTGAGCAGGTGTTGTTTGTTGTTCTCATTGGCTCCTCTGTCTGGGATTCTCCAGGCAAGAATACTGGAGTGGGTTGCCATTCCCTTCTCCAGGGGATCTTCCCAACCCAGGGATCGAACCCGCATCTCTTACACCTCCTGCATTGCAGGCAGGTTCTTTACCATCAGTGCCACCTGGGAAATCCAGTTGGGAGTGGGGTTGTCTTTTATTTGTTTTCTCTATGTCCTTTTGTCTGTTTTCTCTTTTTCTCATTATTTATAAAAAGGAAAACTCCTATTTGGAATTTCTCTTCCCCTTTTTATCCTCAGCTGTGATTGGTGGCCGATAGCCTCACCTCATGACAACTCCCTCCTCCCCTCACCCTAATCTGACTCCTGAGCAGGTGTTGTTTGTTGTTCTCATTGGCAGGAGCCACTCAGTAGGGAACACCAGCCCCTCTCAGAGCCCGTCTCCCACCAAGAAAATACAAATGCACGACCCAAAACGCCCTAGTGATATGCCCTCAAGTGCTGTGCTGTTGGCAGTAGTGAGCTCAGTAGGTAAAAGGATGGAGCTAAGGAGGCCAAGGTCAAGGGCTGATCAATCGCCCTGTGGACCAGATAGCTCTGCTTTAGACCTGCCCATAAAAGTAGCCCCTTCTCAGAGACAGTTCCTTCAAGCTGATGGCCGGGAATCATGACCATACTACCCGCCCTGCTCCTTCACTTGCTCTCACATAAGCAGGTGGACACATAGAAACGAGCATAGGTCTCTGTCAGATGGGATCACGTGAGAAGAGCTGTATCAGGCACAAGGTGACATGAGGAGCCTGCCGGCCCCAAACTCCAGATGTATGGGTGGAATTGGTGACAAAAAGGGACCAACTGGAGAGGTGAAGGGATGTGTACAAGGTCCCTACTTCCAACCACCTCTCCTTTCTTTTCCATCAAAAAGAAAATATATCCAGCTTAACATGAGTTGACCCTAGGACCAATACTGTTATATCATGAATGAAAGAAAAACTGTTAGTTGCTCAGTGGTGTCTGACTCATTGCGACCCCATGGACTATAGCCCCCCAGGCTCCTCTGTTCAAAGAATTCTCCGGGCAAGACTACTGGAGTGGGTTTCCATTCCCTTCTCCAGGGGATCTTCCCAACCAGGGATCGAACCTGAGTCTCCCGAATTGCAGGCAGATTGTTTACCATCTGAGCTACCAGAGAAACCCTTCTATCATGAATGAAGTGAAGTGGAAGTGAAGTTGCTTAGTTGTGTCTGACTCTTTGTAACCCCATGGACTGTAGTCTACAAGGCTTCTCTGTCCATGGAATTTTCCAGGCAAGAGTACTGGAGTGGGTTGCCATTTCCTTCTCCAGGGGATCTTCCCGACCCAGGCATCGAACCCGGGTCTCCCGCATTGCAGGCAGACACTTTACCGTCTGAGCCACCAGGGAAACCTGGTAACACGTTAATGCGGGCATTTGTTAACATACAGAAAGATCTGATCTTGGGGGGGAGAAAGTTTGTAAAGTGAAATTATAAGCATCCAATATTACATGCCCAATGCTTTGTGTTACGTAATTGGGGATGCAGAACAGTGTAAAAGTGTGTTGCTGTTGACTTGACACAGAGTTGAGAATGAAGGAACAGGACACTCCAGAGACTCAGCCCCTCAACAGGCTGGCACCATGAGGCGTGCAGAGTGACCTGGAAACAAAGGCGCATTCACCCCTCCACCCCACCTCCCCCCATGTCTTCCCCTCATCACTGCCATTGACTTGACCAATTCAGACTTTCATGATTTCACAGTGGGAATTTATATCACAGGACAAGCGCATCTTGTTTATCCCAGCAACAGTTCCTTGCAAATACCCCACGTGAGGACATCACACCGCCGTCTTGCCTTCTGTGCTAGCATCCGCATGGCAGTACCAAGTCACTGTTAGCTCAGAGGCTCTGATGGGAGAGGAGGGTGACCCATGAATTCAGATCCCTCCTTTTGTAAACATTCATGATCTCTGCGATATACACTGTTCTACAACTGTGCCATAACTTGGGCCTAAGCAGTACTCAGATTACCACCTTCGTCTAGGAGAACCCGCATTCTTCTCTTCCCTTACTTAGTTACTGAGCTTTCCTGGTGGCTCAGTGGCAAAGAATCGGCCTGCAGTGTGGGAGACCCTGGTTCGATCCCTGGGTTGGGAAGGTCCCATGGAGAAGGGAAGGACTCCAGTATTCTTGCCTGGAGAATCCCATAGACAGAGGAGACTGGTGGGCTACAGTTCATGGGGGGTCACAATGAGTCCAGGCATGATTGAGGGACTAACATTTTCACTCTTAGTGAAAATTTTCACATAGTCATGGAAGGGGTGGGGAAGGCACTATTATATAACTAAGATAATCTGTACCCAGACACTTATGCCAGTGCAATGGCACTCTAGACACATGGTCAGCTTAGAAATAATGTTTTAAAGAATGGGACCTGGCCATCAGGAAACCAGGTTCTTATCCTCTCTCCTGCTGTAACTGTCATAAGGGCTCAGATTCTCATTTCTCTCTCCCTTAGTCACCCCAGTTACAAGACGGGAAATTCAACCAAATGGTCTCAGATCTTAGAACTCTCAGGTCCTAAGGACTGAGTCTCCCTGGGTGATATGAAGATGAATAAGACACATTCTCTACCTTCAGTGTCGTGGGCGACTAAAATCCAGAAAAACAGAACAATGTCCTGTCTGGTGATGCTCAGAAATGTTGAGCATCAGTTCTCGTTTATCTCATCAAGAACTTTTGATAATATTACCCCTCTTAGTAGTCAAACCAAGATTAGCGTCATTCACTTGTTTCATGGTGAAAACCTCATTTTAAATAGATTGCTTTTCTTTGGTTGGTGACCCATTTTATCTGCATGAGATGAGTTAGGTGTAAGTTAGATAGCTATGTGGGGCTTCCCTGGCAGCTCAGAGGTAAAGAACCTGCCTGCCAGTGCAGGAGATGTGAGTTCAGTTTGGTCACGCAGTTGTGTCCAACTCTTTGCGACCCCATG